TGGACCTCCTAATGGCACCTGGTATTTTTGGCCACTGTGTGACACAGAGTGTTGGACTGGATGGGCCACTGGCCTTGTCCAACATTGGCTTCTCTTATGGTTTTATGTTCACAGATGTATTTATTTCCTTTCTGTAATGCCTCTATTTTTATTTACCTGATCTAACTTGGTTCTCTTTCTGTTAATTCAATAAATTTTTCTTGTTTATTCCCCTTTCTTTTGAGTGTAGTGTCTGTATCTCAACACCTATATACACAGATCATGGTCTCGGTAATTAATACTCCACAATACATGTGTTTTTGTTAGCAGAAGGGTGCTTTTGCTAGCTACAAGGGGTGCAGGTCTATTGGTGATTTGGGTAACACGCCTTGGAGGCCCCTTGCTGGGGGTGCCATAAGTCAGCTGTGACTTGATGGCACTTTACACACACATACACGTGACCCCACCCAGAATCAAGAAATCTCAGATGTAATCCAGACACAAGGCAGAACTAGAATGAAAGCTCTTCCCTATATGCTCAATTATTTATGTTGGTCTGATTCCAGTTAACCTACTGAATGTATAGGAAATGATGTCACTTGACCAATCAGGTCTGTTGCTAACCAGGTGAGTTGACCAATCAGATGAGTTTGCTGTCAGACCAAATACCCTGCAGCTACATCAGGTCCAAGGAGCTGCGGTGGCTCAAGTGGTTAAGACACGGAACTGCAGGCTGTGGAAGGTCAGTAGTTCAGCAGTTCGAGACCCGGGTGCCGCATGACGGAGTGAGCTCCCGTCTCTAGTTCCAGCTCCGCAAGTAGATAAATAGGTACCACTTTGGTGGGAAGGTAACAGCGTTCCGTGCGCCTTGGTGTTTAGTCATGCCAGCCACATGACCACGGAAACATCTTCGGACAGCGCTGGCTCTTCGGCTTTGAAACGGAGATGAGCACCGCAACCCTGGAGTCGGATTTGACTGGCTTTTGAGCAAGGGAAACCTTTACCTCAGGTCCAACTAAACACCTGCTCCCACCCATGAGCTCTCCCACTGTTAACCTGCATTATTTCCAGGCTAAATTTATGTTTGCAAGAGGAATCTTTTGAATCTTACTCTGGGGATGATACTTCCAGGAAAAGAAAGAACATGGACAAGAAAGAACTTGGGACATCAGGTTCATAACCTTTATGGAATTTTATTTGTACACAGAGAGCCAGTTTGGTGTAGTGGTTAAGTGTGCGGACTCTAATCTGGGAGAACTGGGTTTGATTCCCCACTCCTCCACTTGCAGCTGGCTGGCTGACCTTGGGCAATCAGTAGTTCTGATAAGAGCTGTTCTTGAAAAAGAGCAGTTTCTGTCAAGAGCTCTCTCAGCCCCACCCACCTCACAGGGTGTCTGTTGTGGGGTGGGGAAGGGAAAGGAGTTTGTAAGCCGCTCTGAGACACCTTTGGGTAGTGAAGGGCGGGGTATAAATCCAATCTCTTCTTCTTCTAAACTCTAACAGGGACTTTCTTTTAATCACATTCAGATTTTCCAGACCATACCCCAGCACAGAAAAATACATTGAGAGTATGTAACTTAGCTTAACCAAAATATCCTTGCCTATATTGAAGCATTAATTTAAAATAGCATAAAGCATAAGCAGCATGGAGAATGAAAAGCAACATAGGCCCCGGTCACACGGAGCATTAGGCACGCTAGAGAGACGGAAGATAGGTGGAGTTTCCGAGCGTATAAGCAGCATGGAGCATGAAAAGCAACGTAGGCCACTGCCACACGGGGTAGGGGGAATAGCACGGGCAAAGTGCAGCTTTCTAAAACCGCACCAAAAGAGACACGGCGGCAGGATCACATAGATTCCCTGAGCCGTCGCGCACTTCCTCCCCGGCATGATCAGATGCTGGGGGGAAGCCACTGAAGAAAGCGCGCAACAGCCAAACTGCGCATGTGTGCGCATGCAGTTCAGTGGGGAGCCTGGATTGATCTGGACGACGGATGCGGCGGCGATCCCATGGCCACACTTGCAGCGGTGCTTCAGGTAAGTCCTCCTCTGTAGGAGGTTCTTTTTTGCAGCGGGTTTCCCGGGTTTAGGGACGGATCGGGGATGGGTGCTCGCTGCTTCCCAGATGTTGCGGTGAGATCGTGCCCATTTGCTGTGCCCCCGATTCGTCCCTCTCCCGGGCCAAAGTCTCCCATGTGACCGGGGCCACAATACAGCAAGCAGCATATGAATCCAACCAGTCCAAAAAGGGTAGTGGAGCACATTCAAAGTTGGCCCAAAGGTAGCTTGATAGGAAACAGCCTTACCTCCTTCAGATGAATATCTGAAAGACAGGAAGTGAGTGAGAGAGGCTTTAGATCCTCTCTGCCTGACTCCCATTGGATACTCCCCTATTCTTATACTCTACTCGGCTCATCTGCCCTCTCTTCTAACCCAGTCCAAGTCTTACAACTACTCTTGGATTTCTACCAACTTGGTGAAATATCATAATTGGCAAAAATTATCATATGGTCATGAAAAACACGCATATCTTATCTGGGTTTCCCCTTGCCAAGGACACCCCAACTCTACTGGGTTAAGTTTTCCTGTGCTGGAACTGTTCCTACACCCACTTCTACTTTGGCCCAGTACTGACATGGCCTGTCTCACGACAGCATCCAATTTAGAACCAAACCTTCCATGACAATCATTCTTTATTCCTTATTCTCCCCCCCCCCCCCCCCCAACCCCCCCCGCGGTCTTTAGCAGTAATGGATACTATAGTGTATAGTATATAACATAAGCATGCGTATAGCATTAATCTGCACGGCATAGCTTCATGATTCATGAAAGTGGCATTCAAAATACATCACCAAGAGGCCTGTGTGCTGTTCTGCTTTGGTCAGTGTTCAAATCTGTCCCCAAACCTGCTCCTCCCAATTTGCTATTCAAACTCCATCAGCTGTCTGGTAATGAAGATTTTTTATAGACACCTAAATTCCTTACTTATGGAAAAGAAACGTTGGCTGCGATCACACACACTAAACAATCCACTTTCCAACTGGATTTTTACTATGTGAACCGGCAAAATCCAGTTGGAAAGAGCCTTGAAAGTGGATTATTTAGTGTGTGTGACGACAGCCTTATTTCCCCATCAGGGGTTTTCCTTTAGAATTCTCTTTAAAAGTTTGAAAACTATCTCAGCTGGCAAATATTTCTCTCTCCCTGGCCCAATTCTTTTTTTAAAAAAAAGTTTGTTTATAAATTTTTCATTACAAAAAAGAAAGGTTCCTTTTATACATAACATTCTTGGGAGTATATATTATACATTTTCCCCCATCTATTTATTTACTTTAGTCCACCTTTTCTGAAACATATTGTCATCTTTCTCTGGCCCAATTCCTAATGTCTAGGTAAGTTGGCATCCTGAATCCTGCAAATCATTAACCTGTCCTTGCTTCCCAGAGAACAGGATTTCTATTAGGAGAACAAATGAATCTATAAGGAGAACAATTAAACTATTATAATGGCTTAAGTGAGGTTCCTTTTCCCTCCACATTTCTCTGTACATCTCCTCACGGTGCTTGAAATCTTTAAGGTACATTAGAAAAGTATACAAAACTATAGTTCTCATTATTCCCAGTGATCCCTGTTGTTTGCATTGCTCAGAGTGGTTTGCTTGGAAAAGACCTAGACTTTAATCGTCTTGGTTACTGGCTGGATGGGACAGTGGAAAGCTTCGCCGTCTCTCTTTTGAAAATGGTTTTATATTTTTTTAAAGGCTTTAGGTCGGTCTCGTTGGTATTAGGCCCTCCTTAGTCTAACCCCACACCCATGAGCTCAGGCGCTAAGGTGATGGAATGCGGCTGGATGGGACAGTGGAAAGCTTCGCCATTTCTCTTTTGAAAATGGTTTTATATATTTAAAAAGGCTTTCAGTCGGTCTCGTTGGCATTTAGGCCCTCCTTAGTCTAACCCCACTCCCATGAGCTCAGGCGCTAAGGTGATGGAATGCACCCTCCTAGATTCTTCTGGCCTTGAAGCTGCCAGGCCTACTGGTGTGACTGGCACCTGGGTTACCTCCCATCTCCCTTATCTGAGTCTTTAAAGCTACAAGCAGCTTGACCTAAGTTTTCAGAGAAGGAAATTTCCATCTGTTGTAGGGTCTCAGCCTGAACCATATTTTGAGTTGAACAAGAAACTGCTTAAAGGGACCGGTCTCTCGACTTTTTGTTGACTTATGTCACTTGCTTGGATGTATCAGCTGACGCTCCCCACTCAGCCTTTCTAGGAATTCCCTCCCACAAGTCTGTCTTCAAATTAAACTCACAACAGAAATAGAAACAGGAATTTAATACAAACACAGATCTCAACAGTTTGGACCCACCCCTCTTGTTTTATGTGTCAGTTTTGGTGACTGGGACACGGGGGAAGGCCTTTCCAGAGCTATAAAACAGGACTGTTCAGTCATATCAATGGCCCTGCTGTCTTAAGAGAGTTGGAGGTGGCCTTTGGAACGCACCCAAAATAAGGGCAGAAGGGTCTCTCCAGAGAAGGAGGCTTCAGAGAATTCGTAGATCAGGGCTGCTCTGTCAGGGTCGAAAAAGGCTACGCGACCCCCAAGATAATTCAGACAGACTCGGATCTTCTTGAGTTCCCCACTCGGGGTCTGGAGAGGGTCGCGGTCATTTGTTGAAGCCCTGTAGCGGCCCTCCCATTTCCCCACCTCCCAGAATCCTTTCTTAGGACTAAAGACAATGTCTCCCTTCCTCTGCACAGAATTCCTGGCAACCCCCACACCCCATGCATCCTCCCTTCCCACAAGGACGTCCCAGAAATAGCGGCCGGCTGTGAATCCAGACTCGGATCTTCTTGAGTTCCCCACTTGGGGTCTGGAGAGTAACACGGTCATTTGTTGAAGCCCTGTAGCAGCCCTCCCATTTCCCCACCTCCCAGAACCCTTTCTTAGGACTAAAGACGATGTCTCCCTTCCTCTGCACAGAATTCCTGGCAACCCCCACACCCCATGCATCCTCCCTTCCCACAAGGACGTCCCAGAAATAGCGGCCGGCTGTGAATCTCTCATGTCCCAGAACAAAGGCATATTTGTCAAATCTCTCAGGATTGTTGGGCAGAGCTTGAGGTGTTTTTCCTCGTCTCACACTTTTCTGATCCTTGGACAGGATGAGTTCGGGATGGGCCGTGTCCGGATCCAGAGTTACATTTGCTGTTGGGGGGAAGATAAGGAAACAGAAGTGAAGGTGGTTCAGCTGCAAGGCAAATAGATGAGTGATCTGTCACACCCAACTGACACTTAGTGTCCCAGGTATGTTCGTTCCCTGTGGAGCTCCTTGACCTGGTTGCAGCTTGTTCTGTTTCCCTTTTCCTTAGTTTTAACCCTCGCCTGGACTCATGGGCTTTCCTTCTTTCATGTTCTACTTAAAGAAGTCTAAAGGCAGAACAGACTTCTGGGGCCTAAAGAGACAGTAGCAACCCATGTGAATACACCCTGTCATTCATATCCCATACCCAAGAAGTACCTCGAGAGAGAAACAGATCATTGTGTATTTCATCCACCATTATGAACAAAAAAATCATGTGTGGAAGAGTTCTTACACAAACACCGTGACCACATGAAAATGAGGACATGAACAAAGTTAGTTGAACTTGCAAAATTGATCTTACTCTTGATCCTAGGTATATCCCAAGAATAACATTTTGCCTCAAATTAGGATTTCCAAGGGCTACAATTCAGAATTTGAATATTATTCTCCTTTGGCCAGAACTTCTCTCTCTCTCTGGCCTGAAACCTCACAAAACTAACAGCAGGTTGATGAAGAACTCACAAAAATATCCTTCACAAAAACCTAGATCAACCTTTAACTATTTGTTTTAAAAGGTATATATTCCTCTTTTCCTGTCATTCCAGCTGCCTCCCAGAAAGCCAAACCAAAACGTCCTGTAATAGATTCTGAGCTTCACAAAATAGATAACTTGGGGGACAGAAGGATAGTGGGATTTACATTCTCTATGAACTTTGAATGAACCAGATATGTGACTTCTAGAGAGAAATGAGTGCTTCATGACCAAGCTACAATTGACAGGAAATACTTCTTTAAGCAACAAGTAATTAAAAAGTAGAATTTGCTTTCAGAGGATGTACTGATGGCCAGTGGCTACTATCTGTGGTGACTAAAGGGAACCTCCACATTCAGAGGCACTAAGCCCCTGAATGCCAGTGCCAGGAGACCTCTATGCCCTGTTGTTGGCCCTCCAGAGGAAGTTGTTGGCCACTGTGTGAGACAGGATGTTGGACCCCAGGTCTGATCCGGAGGGCTCTTATGTTCTTACTAGGAGTAAGGCCCGTTGTGGGAAGAAATGCAAGCTCTAGAAGGAAGCTCCAGATGAGTGTCCCAGCTGTGGCTGGGGGGGGAGCAAGGGGAAGGGGCAAGCCATGTTTCTTTCCTTCTGCTTAGCTATAAGGCAGGGCTGTCTCAAGTCATTTTGCTGCCCCAAGTGGGTAGTATGGGAGGACAGCCTCATGGTAACAGGTATGGTTCCCTCCACCCGACTTATTTTTTTTGGTGGGAGGGGGTGTTCTGCAGTGGCAGCTAAGGTAGAAAAGCACCTCCTCCTATGCCATGTTTTCTTGGTTCCAAGGGTCTGGAAAGTGGTTCCATAGCCAATTACACGGTTGCCAACTCTGGGTTGGAAAATACCTTTAGTTTTGAGGGGTAGAGCCTGGGGAGGGCAGGGTTTAGGGTGTGGAGGGACTTCAGCAAGATATAATGCCATAGAGTCCACTGCCCAAAGTAGCCATTGTCTCCAGGAGAACTGATCTTGGTCATCTGGAGATCAGTTGTGATAGCTGGGAAATTTTCTGTAGAGGAAATGATTTGCTGTGGCTGGGGAACATGGTGATTTCTGGGAGATCTCCAGGCCCCACAGGGAGACTGGCAATTTTACCTCAGGACACATTCAATGACTCCCAACAGCAACAGCAAACTGTTTAGAATGTCAGAGGCAAAGGCCAATCAGGCCGCATATGTAAATGACCTCTGTGTTCCAACTGGCTATGAGGGGAGAAGAACAGCAAACTGTTTAGAATGTTGGAGGCAGGACTCAGGCAACGCAGCCAGTGGATAGGGACAGCTTCTGAGGAACACATCATGGAGACAAAGGCTGTGGGCGCCGTGTGGAATGTTCAGGAGCATGCCACCACCAACAGAGAATTATTATATAGAGCAGTGGTGGCGAACCTATGGCACGGGTGCCAGAGGTGGCACTCAGAGCCCTCTCTGTGGGCACGCGTGCCATCACCCCAGCCAGGCCCAGACCATCATTAAAGTGTCGAATTCTCTGCCAAATAATTTTAAGTAAATGAAAGCATTTGGGATTGCTTTCCTTACTTTGTTTGGATCATCTTAAGTTAATGTATGAGTTGTTTTTTCTAAAGTAAAACCTCAGTATTCAGGTTAAATTGCCATGTTGGCACTTTGCAATAAATAAGTGGTTTTTGGGTTGCAGTTTGGACACTCGGTCTCTAAAAGGTTCGCCATCACTGATATAGAGGATGAGATGAAAGGAGGCAGTTCTTCCCCTCACAGTTCACCTTCTCTGCTATCCCAATCAATCCTGACAGAACAAATCCTGATATATCCTCCTCAGAACAAAGCTTAAGGAATTGGCTTGGGCAGACAGGATGAGTTTTGAGAGAAAAAACAAGAATGTTGAGGTAATTTTATCATTGGAGAAACACCAATTTTTCACAAGAAATTGTGAAAGTTTTTAGTTTACAAATAATTTATTAGTGTATGACGAAAAACGTACCTTTGTGCACCTGAAATCCATCTGAGGAAACAAAGGAACAGTGTGAGTTGCAGGTCCCTGTGCTTATGACAAATAGCGCAACTAAAAAATCAGTTAACATCTTTTTTCTTAGTTTTCAGCTGAAAGGTTAAGTAGAAATTACTTTTGGGGAAAATTCTCCCCCAAATTTTAGTTGTGTGCAAATATTCAAATTTGATTCCACTTAATGTGAGTTTATTTTATTTTTTATTTTATTTCATTAAACTTATAATCCCACCCTCCCACATTGTAGGCTCAGGGCAGGTACCAACATGTATATATCTGCTCATGCTGTTGGACTAAGAACACAAATGGAAAAATGTATCACATTTAGCATATTGAATGTTAACTGCTAAAAGGAACAAAGAATGATCCTGAACGCGGTTATCCAGAAGTTAATTGCTCTGTGTTACTTGAGAGCTGCTTCATAGAAAGTATGCTGGTTGGATGTTTACTTTGTTTTGATAACTATTAAGGGTAGAAATATAGAAAGGTTTGAATTGTTTAAAGTAAGATATTGTTACCTTGAAATTTAAAATGAAAATGGGAAAGAAAAACGGAATTATAAAATGAGAGGGTTGGGAGGAGCATTGCGGGAAGCCACCAAAGGGGGGGGGGGGAGGAGATAAAAGAAATGGATATCGGATTAAAGAATGTAATCTAATGTTGAATATGTTGTTATATCCAAAATAAAAGTTTTTGACATAAAGTATGCTAAGGACCCAATCCAAGGGTCCAATCCAGACAAATTTAGGATGCTTTCACACAGGTTTTGCTCTGGTTTGGCATCCAAACTGGAGTGGGGAACTTTAGAGACCTGCAAAATGTTGTCACCAACATTCCATCTTCTGGGATCTCCACTGTTTTGTTTTGAACTTTCCCAAATCCTGTTTGTGTATCACATTTAGCATATTGACAGTTAACTGCTAAAAGGAACAAAGAATGATCCTGAACGCGGTTATCCAGAAGTTAATTGCTCTGTGTTACTTGAGAATTGCTTCATAGAAAGTATGCTAAGGACCCAATCCAAGGGTCCAATCCAGACAAATTTAGGATGCTTTCACACAGGTTTTGCTCTGGTTTGGCATCCAAACTGGAGTGGGGAACTTTAGAGACCTGCAAAATGTTGTCACCAACATTCCATCTTCTGGGATCTCCACTGTTTTGTTTTGAACTTTCCCAAATCCTGTTTGATACTGCAATAAAGAAGGCCAATGCTATGCTGGGGATTATTAGGAAAGGTATTGAAAACAGATCAGCCAATATCATAATTTTTCTTGCCTCATCCTCTCCACAGCTGCCATTACTCGCCTCCACTAGTTTCTCTACTAATAGTAGTTCCTCTGAATTCCCAGATTTAATGTAAAAAAAAAAAAAGTCTCCAGGCTTTCTTGTGGAGATACAAAGGGGTAGCTACACCCTTATTTCTCTGCATTGCAAAATGCTAGACTTTTGATTTTTAAAAAAGAGAACCCATTTTAGATCTGGAAACGAAGATGCCAATATAAGGACTTAACTCTTTTCTTGCAAAATAAAACAATAACCTACAGATGGTGTTTCCCAGAGGGACCCAAAAGGATTCAAAGATAATGATAAGAAAATTAGAATTGATTCTGTCCAAAAGGCCAAAAAATTTCTGAAACAACAACTGAGCCCAGATGAAGAAGAGGATTTAAGCTTCGAGGAAGGAGAGGATCTCAGCGAGGAAGAAACCGATAACACTTCAAGTGACTCCAACAGTTCAACTTCAGAGTCTGAGAAAGGAGTAGCAGCACCCAAAACACCAAAAGTAAAGAAGAAGAAGCACAAGAAATAAACATATTACTCTGGATTACAATTTTTTTACTTTAGCGTTACTAAATTACATTTGACAGAAGTTCGATCTCACTGGTTTTTATACCTTTTTGTATAACATGAATATGCAGGAGTGATTTATGTATATGTAACACAACATAAGATTCTCTTAAGTTAGAGATAGTTTATTCCCTGCTTCCCTGTCCTTTTAGTAGGTAGGATTTATAGTATAAACCAATTAAAAATTATTTTAAAAAACCCAAACAAACAAAGATGGGGAAATGAGTAAAACAGACTGGAGAGGAACAGGGTAGAAAGGGATCACATTTGTGTAGATTACAGAAGGGAAGCAAAGGGCCATCTCTGCATGTCTCATCCAGAGTTTGGTCTAGAATCGTCAGCCCACCCTTCATTCAAATTCAACACAAGACTTTATTTATTTAGAACATCTCTATACTGCCTCTCCAGGAAACTGCTCAAGGAAAAAAAAAATTACTGAGTTAAATTCTCCAGAGCTGTTACTACCAGAGGTAAATTACTTGCTACATTTCTCTCCTGCCTTTCTCCAAGATGTTCAAGGCAGCAAAGACAGGGTTCCTGGAGGCCTTCCTGTCAGGTACTGACCATGTTGCTTCAGAAACAGTGCCTCATGGTACCATCCTAAGCATATTTACAGCCTCCTAAGCCCATGGATTTCAATGGACTCAGAAGGTGTAACTCTGCTTAAAAGAGCAGAGATGAAAATGCAGAACCATTGTGAGCAAATCCAGGGACTACAATGGTGAGCTACTGCCACAGACAGAATTTTGATCAGAAAACGTTCCATGGTGAACTCAAATGGCCTCTGGAATTGACACACAAATTCCCTGTCTGCCTGATACAAGGGACCTGGAAGGTTCCACACTCATATCTGGCTCACTTCATGACCTCTCTGAAGCTGTTCTTTATTACCTTTCAACTGCTTCATGACCCCCTCCAGCGAGTGATTGATGTCATAGATGTCCCAGATCCTCCACTTCAATGCAACAGGAAAAGTCACTGGATTCTCAAACCTCTCCTTTTCTTCATACCTTGAGGGCAAAAAAAAAAGAGGTTCTAGGTCATCATCTATCCAATCCAGAAATAGAAGGCAGAAATACGCAGAAGGCCTAGAGACACCAGTGGACACTGAAAGCAGAGAAAGAGGGGAGGCCCTTTGGAGACGACAGTCTGTCCCCTTGCAGTTGCTCCAGAGACCCCAAAGCCAGGCCCCTGGAGGCCAAATCAGACATCAAGAGAAATGGGTGGCTTCCTCTTAGAACAGCAACCCCACATCCCCTGCTCACATCTGTCTATGGAAAGATGGGAGAAAGCTACTGTGGTGCAGGGGTTAGAGTGCTGGGCTGGGACTGCAGAGGCCCTGGTTCAATTCCCCACTCAGCCCTCCAGCTCTCTGGGCCATTCCCTTTTCCTCTCGGCCTAACCTTCCTGACAGGGCTGTTAGGAGAAAGGGAGAATCATGTAAACTGCACCTTAAGATCCTTGGGGGGAGGGCAGGCTATAAAGGCGACAAGAGACAAAACAGGTGAATGCGCTGTCTGAGAGCATCCATGGGACTGCGTTCATCTGCAGTTTGCCATTTACAGAGGGACGGAGATCCACGATCTGAGTCATGTCTGTGGTGGTCCTGAGCCTGAAGGGCCACTTTCTTCACATGCTACCCAGATCCATCCCAGCATCCAGTAGGTAAGGGTAGAAAGAGATCCATTTACCTCCGCAAGGTGCTTCGGACATCCTAGAGAGAAAAAGAAAGAGCAGTCAATATCTGCCATGGGTCATATTGGGAAGAACCCCGCAGACCCTGGAGAGAGATGTATTCTGACTCCTTTCTTGTGCGTCCCGCTCAAGGACGGGGGCTGTGTCTTCATAAAGCGGGAGAACTTCTTCATGAGGGAACAACATCAGCAGTCAAAGGGAAGCTGTTTCAGAGGAGAGCTGGGTGACTTATTTGACAACGCCCCACATGGTATGTGCCCAACCCCACCAAAAACCCTATTCTTCATACCTTGAGGGCAAAAAAAAAAGAGGTTCTAGGTCATCATCTATCCAATCCAGAAATAGAAGGCAGAAATACGCAGAAGGCCTAGAGACACCAGTGGACACTGAAAGCAGAGAAAGAGGGGAGGCCCTTTGGAGAGGACAGTCTGTCCCCTTGCAGTTGCTCCAGAGACCCCAAAGCCAGGCACCTGGCGGCCAAACCACACATCAAGAGAAATGGGTGGCTTCCTCTTAGAACAGCAACCCCACATCCCCTGCCCACATCTGTCTATGGAAAGATGGAGAAAGCTACTGTGGTGCAGGGGGGTTAGAGTGCTGGGCTGGGACTGCAGAGGCCCTGGTTCAATTCCCCACTCAGCCCTCCAGCTCTCTGGGCCATTCCCTTTTCCTCTCGGCCTAACCTTCCTGACAGGGCTGTTAGGAGGAAGGGAGAATCATGTAAACTGCGCCTTAAGATCCTTGGGGGGAGGGCAGGATATAAATGCGACAGAGACAAAACAGGTGAATGTGCTGTCTGAGGGCATCCATGGGACTGCGTTCATCTGCAGTTTGCCATTTACAGAGGGACGGAGATCCACGATCTGAGTCATGTCTGTGGTGGTCCTGAGCCTGAAGGGCCACTTTCTTCACATGCTACCCAGATCCATCCCAGCATCCAGTAGGTAAGGGTAGAAAGAGATCCATTTACCTCCGCAAGGTGCTTCGGACATCCTAAAGAGAGAAAAAGAAAGAGCAGTCAATATCTGCCATGGGTCATATTGGGAAGAACCCCGCAGACCCTGGAGAGAGATGTATTCTGACTCCTTTCTTGTGCGTCCCGCTCAAGGACGGGGGCTGTGTCTTCATAAAGCGGGAGAACTTCTTCATGAGCGAACAACATCAGCAGCCAAAGGGAAGCTGCTTCAGAGGAGAGCTGGGTGACTGATTTGACAACGCCCCACACGGTATGTGCCCAACCCCACCAAAAACCCTCCTTTAAAGTTGCTGCAGACGATCTCGCATACAGTCTGCATTGCTGGTTGTCTCAAAAAGCTGCCAATGAACTTTGTTTTCCTTCTATGAGTTGGTATCACAGCCACACATGTGCTTCAGAGACTCCTCCGTCGGCCCATCTTCTCCTGTAGCTCCCTGCCTGATCATCTAACAGCGATCCCTTGTTCTCCACTAATGTGACTACAGAGCTTCCTCTCGTCCTTTGATCCATCTCAAACTCTTTAAAAAGGCACTGCATCCTCAAGGGAGTGGCGGATATACCAGTGAACAGCACTCTCCTTGTCCTCTTGGAACAGAGGCACACCACCAGTGTCACAAATCACGGCCTCTTGATTCTCAGCCTTAGCAAACGAGGGCTCTAGAGAACAGCAGAAGCGGTATAAGATTCGTAGGCAGTAGGGCCCAACTGAGACACCAAAGGGGGAGACTCTGACACAATGAGGGGGGAAAAGCGCTCTAGCGAACCCCAGAAGCTAAGATATGTTGGCGAGAGGACTTGACTGAGACACAGAGGCCCATAACCAATGTTCCCTCTAAGCTGTGGAGTCTTGTGAGCAAAAATTCTACTTTGTGAGTTACTGGCATTAAAGTTGTGAGCGAGTGATTTGGCTACTGGAGGCAGCCTCCTCCCAAAGGGCAGCCCTACCTGTTCCTGCCACCCCCTCACCTGCAGGAGATCACTGGCTGGCTGCTGACTCTTCTCCTCCATCTCCCGGATGAGGCTCTCCAGAGAGGAGAGTCCCTCAGAGAGTCCAGCCAGGAGCTGGTCCCTTTTCTTTGCCACCTCCTTCTCCACCTCTTCCATCTCGGCTAGCAGAAGTTTTTCTTCCTCATCCAGAAACTTGCGCAGTTGCCTGAACTTGGCTAATGTCTTTTGCCTCTCTCCTTTGGTTTGCTTCTGAAAGGGGAAGAGAAGAAAAGCAAAAGGGGTTTCTTGAATCCTTTTGTTCCCCTGCTAGAAGACCCTCCCTACGCTGACTCCCTCAAACTGGGTACAAGATACGATGTTTGAATAGAAAAGCTGCTGAAGGCAAACGAACTAAGAAGCCCCTTCCCCTCCCTTGGTCTCCCAATCTAAAGTGCAGCTTCCCTGGCTGCATTTTTGGCAAGAAGAAAGTTGGGGGGGGGGGGGTTAATTGACACACTACCAAAGCACCCCAGTTACTTTCTCCCTTAAAATCAACCATGGCTGAGCACCACTTGGCTCATTTCAGGTTCAGTGGAGTTGTGGAAGGAAGTCTGCAAGACGGACTCCATTTTGTAGCTAGTTCTGAGCTGGCAGCCATTAAGAGCCCAGCTAGCCAGTCACGTAACAAGGGATACACTTTGCCAAAGTTGCCATGTTGCCGAGAATGTTAAAAGAAGAAAACAATGCATGTGCCCAGATTTAACAACAATAATCAATGAATTCAAAAAAGTCCTTAGAGGGAAAATGGTGAAACGCTTCAGAAATTTGAAGGGAGGCTCCAAGAAATGGTAGATTCTGCACTGGGAATCACTGAAGATTGCTGTATTTGAATTTGTTTAATGGATGTCTACATCCAGCATGATTCTTTTATGAAAACGGATTTAGAACCGGGCGTCCGTCGAGTCAGCTGGCAAAAACACTACTACATCCTTACAGATCAAGGACTTTTTTGAATTGTGTGGGAAAACTCCACCTGTGAATTTCTACCTGCAATTCAACTTCACCAGTGAATTTCTACCTGTTTATGGAAAATTTGTTCTACTTTATATGTCTTATTACTATTAAATCCATTGATTATTGATGTTAAATTTGGGTGCATGCATTGTTTTCTTGTTTTGATATATTGCTGCACCACTGCCTTTCATCTTGTATGAGAATGTTAAAAGAAACAGGAAAGTTTCAAGACTGAGTAAAACGGGATGAAACTGGCCTGAGCCAATTAATCTGCTCTGCTTATCTCTTAACCAACGTGAGACATACCAAATGTCCTCTGTAATCTAGGTGACAGTTTGCGCATGTGTAAACGTTATAAAACTTAGTCTGTCGTTCAGTTAAGTCAGCCTCCTCCTTCTGGGTTACTGTCTCCTGTGAGATCGCAGTAAACATTGACAATTGGGTTTTCAAATCCTTTTGTTTCTTGTTGAGTTTTCATCAACAGGGTATCCATCGGCCACTGTCATTTATACTCTGTTGGAGTTCTTCTAGATCTGTGCCCTGTGTAAGTTGATATCTTCTCCCACACGCTTTGGGTTCTATAGTATCTACATAGTTGTTAATAGTTTAAAGATGCTATTTGTACTAGATTTAATAGTGGAATTCATTGCTCTGAGACCATGTTCTGCTTTGATGTTTTCATTTTGCTTTGTATTGCAATCTCAAATTTAATAAAAGTTTGAAAATGGGGGGACGGGTGGTGGGGGGGAACACCAGGGTATCTATCAGCAATGCTCCCTCTAAGCGGTGGAGTCTTATGAGCACAAATTCTACTTTGTGAGCTACTGGCATTAAAGTTGTGAGTGATTTGGCTACTGCACGAATTAGTTTGCTCCGGAGCCATCCTGAGAGCCAGTTTGGTGTTAATGGTTAAGTGCGTGGACTGTAATCTGGGAGAACCGGGTTTGATTCCCCACTCCTCCACTTGCACCTGGCTGGATGACCTTGGGCAAGCCGTAGTTCTGATAAGAGCTGTTCTTGAAAAAAGAGCACTTTCTGTCAGAGCTCTCTCAGCCCTGCCTACCTCACAGGGTGTCTGTTGTGGGGAGGGGAAGGGAAAGGAGTTTGTAAGCCGCTCTGAGACACCTTTGGGTACTGAAGGGCGGGGTATAAATCCAATCTCTTCTTCTTCTTGTGCTAAGGCAAAAGTGTGTGAGATGGAGGCTAAAAAACTGTGAGCTAGCTCACACTAACTCAGCTTAGAGGGAATACTGTCCATCAGCATTCCCCCCCCCCCCCAGAGGCTTCTCCTGGCATGCACACAAATGGGGCCCAGACCCATATGTTACTGTATGGCCCCCTGAGGATAGTAATTCGGTTTCATCTGCCAAGGTTCACCCCACGGCAGAGAGGTTTGGGATGTCAACTGATTCTGCCCCAAACAAAAACACCTGATTGCCTAGGGCACCCGAGGACAAAGAGCATTGGGGCACCAAAAACAAGCAGTTGCATGGTGCCCTCAGCGCAGCCATCTGGGCTGCAAACCTCCAAGGGGTGGGGCCAGAGAGCTCTTGGGATCACAGCTGACTTTCCAGATACTGTGCCTTCTAAGCTGAGTTGGTGCGAGCTAGCTCACACATTTTTGTCTTCGCTCAGGAAGGAGGGCTCCAGAGCAAACTAATTTATTTATTCAGCAGCCAAATTGCCTGCTCACAACTTTAATGCCAGTAGCTCACAAAGTAGAATGTTTGCTCACAAGACTCCACAGCTTAGAGGGAGCGTTGCTTCCAAGTGATGGAGAAAATGGCTGCTTTGGAAGGTGGACTCTATGGCACTACAATCGTTTGAAGTCCCTCCCTCCCCCAAACCCCACCCCCCAAGATCTCCAGGTATTTCCCAACCCAAGCTGGCAACCCCAGTCACTAGGGCAGTGGCTCAGGGCACACCCGCTTGGCTGACTGGCTGGTAGCCTGAGCTCCTACCAGGCCAGCCAATGGCTTGGGATGGACATGTGTATGCCAGCTGGACAGATGGTGGCTCCAGGCACACTTTCCCCCCTGGCTGGTGGCTCATAGCCTGCCTGGACCAGCCGGTGGGGGTGGAGAAGGAGGATTCATTTTACCAAAGCAGAGAAGACGAAAGACCCCTTGGATGGGGACATTGTTTCATTGTGATCAACTAGCAAAACCTGACCTGGATAGCTCAGGCTAGCCCAATCACATCAGATCTAGGACGCTAAGCAAGATTGGTTCTGGCTAGTATTTGGACGGGAGACCACCAAGGAAGCCCAGGTTTGCTGTGCAGAGGAAGGCAATGACAAACCACCTCTGTTCATCTCTTGCCTAGAAAACCCTACAAGGTCGCTGCAAGTCAGCTGGGACTTTACAGCACTTTCTACACCCAACTAGCAAAAATGAAAGATCTTCCACATGTTTGCCTGCAAGCAGCTGGCTTCATAGTTCAGAGTTTCAAATTGAGAGTAAGCAGCTCACACTAAAGATCTTTTCAGTGCCATCCTAGGCAGAGTTACACCTTCCAAAGCCCATTTACTTCAGTGGACTTTAAAGGGTTTAACCTTGCTTAGAATGGCAATGTCAAGTCTACCGGAGAGCTGCCTTTAGGGGCCTGTTGTCAAGCTCCGGGTTCCTCTTAACCTATTTTATTGTTTTATTGCTGCTCTGTTTCAACCCTTCGCTTGCAGTTGAGCATTCCAGCGGGGTGGGGAGTGATTGTGTGTGTGAATGTAGGGGGGAGTAGTGGCAGTAATCTATTCCGAAGATGGGCCTCAAGAGTCTCATGGGAGACAACCTCGAAGTTATCTGTGCCAGTGCCTAGGTTAGAGGGCAACGTGTAACTGTCCAGGTTGCCATAGCTACGCTGGGGAGTAGGGGTGTGACGTGGACGATGTGGAATTTTTTGGAGAACTTGTATATCTAGACTACTATTGCTTTTAACGTTCAGTTCTGAAAAAGGATCTTGTAACCACAGTTTTAATCCTTCAATAAACATAATGCTTCCCTACAGCATGTGTGAGAAGAGTGTTTTAACTGAGAACCTGACACCTGGCTGCTGTATATGGACTGCCTGCGCACAAAACTTTATTTAACATTCAGAGTTGTGGAAGATCTGCCTAATAAAACAACTCTCAATTCATAATGCAAACTAGCACTGTGAGTAAACAAAGTCACTAGGAATTTCAGCAACATCTAGAAAGATCTGAGTATAAAACAGTGTGTAGCTCTCCCACAGAAAATGTTCACAAAAGACCACTCAAAAGTTATCTTTCACCAGTGTTTTCTGTGGGAAACCCAGCAATTCCAAATTGGAGGGGAGGGCTGCCTTGTGGGTTGACTATTTGTACCCCACCCCCACCCCCCAATACTAGTTCTAGAATCTCCTCACTCCCCAGCCACAGCGACACTTACAAGCAGCTCTTGGCTTTCCTTCATGACATCTCCTTTATGTGCCAGAATTCCTTCTCTCTCCTTCTTCAGAATCTTCAGACAACTGCAGAACTGATCCTGGGGGGTAAAGGAGACCCCAAATTGGTGTTCTTTTTTAGAAGTTTATTGTAAAACATACAATAGCCAAAACTGTTGGTAAGAGCCAAACTAGCTACAATTGCTGCAAGTCTGTAATGGGATCTTCAACAACATTTTCCAAACAGGTGGCTTCCTTGTGAGGACAGGGCCCCGCTCTCCTCTGACTGCCACTGCAATTGCAAAGATATTGACAGTGACAACGCTGCTTTCCCGCGGCGTTCTGGACATTATCCTCTTGTTGACTGTTTCAGCTCCCTGACCCAGATTGGTTTGTATGTATTTTTAAAATTTATTTATTTATTTATTTGCATTAAAAAAAAAATTATTCCTAGTCAAGGCTCCCTCTAAGCTATGGAGTCTTATGAGCAAAAATTCTGCTTTGTGAGCTACTGTCATTAAAGTTGTGAGTGAGTGATTTGGCTACTGCATAAATTAGCTTGCTCTGGGGCCACCCTTCCTGAGCTAAGACAAAAATCTGCGAGCTGGAGGGTAAAAAACTGTGAGCTAGCTCACACTAACTCAGCTTAGAGGGAACACTGGTCAGTATATCATTATAGTGTGTTGCAGTAACAGACCACATTGACAGACCTTTATTAAGGTTCCTACACAATATTCTGGGAAGCCCTCAGTGCGTGTCTGGAATACCCCTTAGAGCCAAAATTGGGGAGATGTCTTACAAAGCAAAGGCCTGGGGAAGAGCATTCAATTTGAAAATTAGCACACAAAAATCAAACCCAGGTCTAAACCTCCTTGAATTAGTCAAGCTGGACCACCACACAAGCGGTTGGGACAGATTAAAAGGTAAAGGTTCCCTTGCTCGAAAGCCAGTCGAGTCCGACTCTGGGGTTGCGGTGCTCATCTCCGTTTCAAAGCCGAAGAGCCAGCGCCGTCCGAAGACGTTTCCGTGGTCATGTGGCCGGCATGACTAAACACCGAGGCGCACGGAACGCTGTTACCTTCCCACCGAAGCGGTACCTATTTATCTACTTGCAATGTCTTGCTTTCGAACTGCTAGGTTGGACAGATTACAGGGCCATAAATTATTATGTCTGGGTATTACCCATGATGTGATAGAAGTAATGAGCAGGCAAGAATTGACACAGCTCATTAGAAGATGTGTTTGGGTGGTTAAAACCAGAAGTCAGGTGGCCAGTGGCCACTCCTGAGTAGCTCAGCCATGCAACAGCCTGGCTAGACCTCAACGCAGCCAGTCAGACAAGAAGTGAGTCAGTCTGCCCATATCACCCCTCAATGCCCTCAACAGGGAGGTAGGAGGCAATGATCCAGGAAGCCACCAAGACAAGGAGGAGGGAGCCAAGTGGCGCTTTCCCTCCCAAGTCTGTGCCTAGAGGCTGAGGCAGAAACTGGAGGGAATTTCCCCGCAAGGAGACCAAGGAGAAGGGAAGGATCCAGGGCTCTTCCCCACCAACCTCCATCATTTGGATTTCCTACCTTGTACTCTTTGGAGGCCTCCTCAAGAGGAAGGGTTTCGTGATATCTGTGCTCCTTGGATCGCTGGCAGACCACACAGATGGGAACTCGGTCATCCTTGCAAAAGAGCTTCAGCGGCCACTGGTGCTTCTGGCAAACTCTCTCCTTTCCAGCCGCTACAAATGGCTGGTGGTGCCCAAAACAAAGGAACAGCATTTATTTCACTCCCCACTAACCACATCCCTGAACTGTGTGTATCTCTCCTGGTAAATGACTGGATACGATTAGTATCTTGTCAGAAAAGGGGGGGAGACCCAACATTATGTAGAAAAGCTGGATGTAACCAAAGTTTTTATCAGGCCTCAAATCCCTTTGAAAGTTAGTGAATAAATCACAACTCCTGGTTCCACGTAAACCACATTCTCCAACTCCTGGTTCCACATAAACCACATTATCTGGACACCTGCTTTGAGCTGCCATTCACAATGCAGGAGAGGAACCCCCCATTTCTTTCTTGCACCACACACACACACACACACTTGGGGGTTATTGTGACAAACCCTAAGCCCGAGAGAGCTGTGCACCAAAGTAAAATTCTGAGCCACACACAAGGATGCCAGAAAGTCTCCCGTGCTGGTGAAATGAGGCACAACAGTACGAGCCCTGCTGGATCGGGTCCACAGAGGATCCGGCCAGCCCACCCTCTAGTTTCCAAAATCTGGACAACCAGATGTGTCCCAGCTAGGCAATGGGGGTGCATTTCCACATATTAAGCGGGATGCTGGAAGTTACTGCCAGGCTGACCAAATCCCCGTTTGCTCTCAGGTCCCTACATTTAATTGATTTAATACCCATCATCATTTGCATTTAAACTGACACTCTTTTCCACCGGACTGAGTCTATGGAGAAGCCAAGAAGAATCTCCAGCTATTCTGCATCCAGATCCACAGAGATTTCTTACCTTCTTCTCTCGGGCTTCCTTCCCCAGAGGAACCACTTGGTGATCTCGGTGCTCCTTGGACCTGTCGCAGACCAGGCAGAGGGGGGCTTTGTCGTCCTTGCAGAAGAGTTCCAGGGGCTCCTGGTGCTTCTCGCAGAGTCGCCCCTTTCCGTCTCCCCCCTTCCCACCGGCCTCTTTTCCCTCCTGAAGAGTGAATTTCCTGGCTATTTCCACAAAGTTGGCCAGCTGCAGATTCCGCCGGAGGTTCTTCTTCCAAGCTCTTCTTCTGCACTGGGGGCAGGAAGGCTCAACCCCTAACTCCTCCCAGCTCTGAGTCAGGCAGTCTCGGCAGAAGTTGTGGCCGCACTCGGTGAGGATCATCGGATCCCTGAAAAAGTCCAGGCAGATGGAGCAAGAGGCTTCATCCCAGAGCTCCTTAACAAGACCTCTCGCCGCCATGACTGCCTCGAGGGAAAAAGGGGGAGGCCGGTCTTTTTCCCGCTTCTCAAAACGAGGGGGCGTTTCCCTTTCTGCAAACGATTCTCAGCCGATGTACAATCAAGGGTCTGTCAGGAGTACGTGGGAAAAAGTAAAAGCTGGATCTACAGGGTTCCTCACGGATCCTGTAGGGTTTTTTCCCATAGAAAAAAGTTATATGATAGAACTCTTCCAAATCCAGTATCGAATCACATGACAAAGCCATGACCACGGACTGAACCATAAAAAAAACATGGGACTGAAAACTTTGCACGGCAACAATGGCACAAAAACATGGATCCAAGGCAGACATCCTCATGAATGCATATGGGGTTTTTTTCACATTGGAACAGAATAAAACAACATATTACAGATAATGTCTTAGTCTACAGGTAGCACCACAAAAATCATGCATTCATCTCTTTGTGGCTCTGCCATGCCACACACACAAAAAAAAAAGTTAATGAAGGCTCATGGATCCTTATGTTTTTTGCACAATCCCAAACTCACCATGGAATCAAATTTAGAGTCCAGCAGCACCTTTAAGGCCAACAAAGTTTTATTCAAGATATGAGCTTTCGTGTGCAAAGCTCACCTCTTCGTCAGACAATGAATTGGAATTACAGAACACAGCTGTATATATAGAGAGAGCGGTTGTTAAATTAATTAGCATGCAAAATAGTGGAGCTGTTTTTTAACAGATCAAAAGAATGACGAGCTGGGTTTCTGGTTATCATCTGGCTGGGTTCAACTGGGGGGGGGGACAACATAGGTAATAAATATGTTAGAATTGGAGACTGATGTTCCCTAAATTGTGAGAATCCAGTCTTGTATCCTGTCCATGGCCACATAATTTAAACCACAGAAATCATGGATCCACTGCTTCATGACACTATCATGCCACAAAAATGTGGTTCCAAAACACAGATCCCCATGGCTCCTCAGGATTTTTGCACTGGGTCACCCCAAACTCACTATCCAATCACATACCAGGTCCATGGTCACAGCCTGTAGCAGAAAAAAAGCACAAATCCACTTGCTCGCGGCACAGCCAGGGTGCAAAAATGTGGTTCCGAAGCACGGATTCTCATGGATCCTCAGAATTGTTATGTTTGGTCACCCCACATTCATCATCCAATCACATATCATGTCCATGGCTATATCTTGTACCACAAAAATCACCCATCCACCACTTTATGGCAGTGCCACAGTGCAAAAACATAATTCCAAAGCATGGATCATAATGGATCCTTAGGATTTTTGTGTTAGGTCACCCTAAAGTCACCACCATATCACTCATCATACCTATGGATCCAAGTATTTAATGCAGTGTTTGCTCCATGACAGTACCACAAGGACCAGGACCTGGGGGGGGGGGTTCGTTCTGTGGGCATGGATGTGATGTGTGATTTCCTAATTAGTTTTGTGTTGAGCCAGTGTAGAATTCCTAACAATCCATGGTGCTTTGGATCATTATTATTGACCCATGCTTTTTGTGGTGTAATCTGTGCCCATCAAAGCTCCCTCTAAGCTGTGGAGTCTTGTGAGCAAAAATTCTACTTTGTGAGCTACTGACATTAAAGTTGGGAGCGAGGAATTTGGCTACTGTTTAAGTTTGTTTGCTCTGGAGCCCTCCTTCCTGAGAAAAGACAAAAATGTGTGAGCTGAAGGCTAAAAAACTGTGAGCTAGCTCACACTAATTCAGCTTAGAGGGGTATATATTTCTCTGGCCAGTTTCTTCATACCCTCCATGCATCTGACAAAGAGAGCTGTGTTTCTCGAAAGCTTCTGCTACAATAATGTTTGTTAGTCTTAAAGGTGCTACTGGACATTTTAACTCTTAAGCTACAGCAGCTGTCTGAATGCTTTCCGCATAGCGGCTTGACTCATTGACTTGTTATTCATAGTGAACTGTTTCTGTTTCTATACAGTTGTGATTTAATTGCAATGTGTATATTTGCTGTGATTTTTTGGTAAACCTTATGAAAGAATTCACTGAATGGTTTGGTTTGTTGTTCACACCTTATTTGATTATTAAAGAAAAATATAAATTAACACACAACATATTTTTCAGGTCATGGCATATGTACTGTTTTCTATTGCGGTCTTATCATAGTTTCTTCTTTTTCCTTTCTTCGGACACAGGAATGAACAGAGATCAAAATGCAGAAGCATTGTGAGAAAATCCAGAGAATGCAACACTGAGACGGAATTTTGACCAGAAAGCATTCCATGGTGAACTAAAATGTCCTTCAGATTTGGCAGACAAATTCCTGGCATACCTGGCCCAGCTAGTGCTACAAGCTACCCAGAAGGTTCCACACTCACATTTGGCCTCACTTAATGACTTGTCTGAAACCCCTGCAGTTGTTCTTTTCAACTGCTTTGTGACACCTTCCAGGAAGTGATTGATGTCACAGAAGTCCCAGATCTTCCACTTCAATGCAAGAGGAAAAGTCACAGGATTCTCAAACCTCTCCTTTTCTTCATACCTGGAATGGGGTGGTGGTACTAGGCTATCCAATCCAGAATTTCCATTACTCAGCAAATAAATAAAAGCAGGAATAAGTAGAAAACCTAGGGACAACATCAGATGCTGAAAGCTGGGAAGCCCTTTGGAGAGGTCTACCTCAATGTTACTCCTGAGACCCCAGAGCCAAGCACCTGAAAGTCAAACCACACATCAAGAAGAACAGGTGGCTGCTTCTTAAAAAGGCAACCTCACATCCCCTGCTCACATCTTTCTAGAGAAAGAAGGAGAAAGCTGCTGTTGTTGTAGTGGGTAGACAGCTGTAGAGGCCCCGGTTCAGTTCCCCACTCAGCTCTGCAGCTTGCAGGGAGGTCCTGGGCCATTCTCCTTTTCTCTCGACCCAACCTACCTGACAGGGCTGTTGTGAGGAAGGGAGAATCATATACGCCACCTTAAGCTCTTTAGAGGAAGGGCAGGATGGAAATATGACAGAGACGAAGCATGCCAACATGCTGGTTGGGGGCATGATTTTCTGTCCACGGGACTGCATTTATCCACAGTTTGCCCTTACAAACGGATTGAGATCTGTGATCTTAGCCGGATCTGTTTTGGTCCTGAGCCTGAAGGGCCAACCTCCTTCACATGGTACCCATATCCATCCCAGCATCAGGAGGATAATCAGAGAGGTCCACTTACCTCTGCAAGGTGCTTTGGACATCCTAGAGAGAGAGACAAAGAAAGAAGGGGAAAGTCAACGTCTGCCATGAGTCAAATTGGGAAGACTCCTCAGATGCTGGAGGGCGATGCATTCGGACTTCTTTATGCATCCCACTCAAGGACTGGGGGTGGTATCTCTATAAAGTGGGAAAGCATCTTTATAAAGGAACAACATCCTCAGGCAAAGAGAAGCCATTTCAGAGTAGACATGAGTGACTGGTTTGGCAACTCAACAGTGCACACGTAAATGGTACCTCCAAACTTTTATGTATTTGTGTTTGTTTGTTATAAAAATAAATCGCTTAAAAAAAACAGTGCACACTGCACAATAGATTCCCCCCCCCCAAAAAAAAAACCATTCTCCTTTGACAGGTTGCTGCAGAAGATCTTGCATGCAAGCCCTCATTTCTGTTTGTCTGGAAGAGCAACCCATGAGCCTTGTCTTCCTTGCATGTGCTGGTCGAACACACGTCCTTACTTCAGAGATTCCTCTACTGGCCATATTCTCCTGTAGCTCTGTCATGTCCCCAGGGGGTCTCCGCCTTCCGCCGCCACCACCCTGGACTTATGGTCCCTGTTGAGAAGGCCCAAGCTACCCTCTCAAGTGGAGCTGCGGTGGCTCAAGTGGTTAAGACGCTGAACTGCAGGCTGTGGAAGGTTGGTAGTTCAGCAGTTCGAGACCTGGGTTGCCACATGACGGAGTGAGCTCCTGTCTCTAGTTCCAGCTCCTGCCAACCTAGCAGTTCGAAAGCAAGACATTGCAAGTAGATAAATAGGTACCGCTTTGGTGGGAAGGTAATAGCGTTCCGTGCGCCTTGGTGTTTACTCATGCCGGCCACATGACCACGGAGAAGTCTTCGGACAACGTCAGCTTTGAAACGGAGATGAGCACCGCAATCCTAGAGTCGGACTTGACTGGCTTTCGAGCAAGGGAACCTTTACCTTTACCTTCTCAAGCACATACAAAATGCCCCTTTTTCAGCCGAGAACACACAGGTGTGATTGACCCAGGCAGAGAAAATAATTAAACAGAAAGGGTTTATTAAAAACAACACTGGGGCAGGGAGAAAACAAGACAAGGCAAGGTGCTTAAAAAGGGTACAACAGTGTGAAAAGGCAAAATAAACATAAACTAATGCAGCTACCTGCTCTACTTCCAGGCCCCTAGCCTGCCTAGCACTCACGATGAGCCCAGTGGAGATCTTCCTCTCTCCCAGACCAGCCTGTCCCCACAGTGAGACCGCAGAGAGAGACCCAAAAGAACACCCTGTTTTCCCTCAGTTAACGGCTAAGACCCACTCTCCTCACACAGTTCAAGAGTCTCCTCCCAGAATCTTTCTCTCTGATTGGCTATAGCCCATCGCTAAGCCTTATGGGAACTGTAGGCTGTCTGCTCACTGCCATGCAGGTCTCTCCTGGGACCAGGCCGCACTAGGCCCTTCTCCCAGTCCTGCACAGATCATGACATAGATCTTAGTAACACAACAGAACTGTGACCTTTTAAAGTCCAATCAATCAACATTTCCCTCCTTCACAGCTTGCCACCCCCAAACTCCATCTCTTTCCTCTTGTGGGTGGCCCACAAAGTCTCCAGCCAAACCTTCTGGGTACCGGCTTCCAAGATGAGGGTCCCAAATGAACTCCATTAGATAACACGGCCCAGAAACAATAATTCTAAAATTTACAATTTAGAATGAAAGTCTCCCTCCCTTACCCTCCCTCCCTTACCACTGGGGAGAAAAGAGCCAGTTTGGTGTAGTGGTTAAGTGCGCGGACTCTAATCTGGGAGATCCGGGTTTGATTCCCCACTCCTCCACTTGCACCTCGCTGGATGGCCTTGGGCAAGCCATAGTTCTGATAAGAGCTGTTCTTGAAAAAGAGCAGTTTCTGTCAGAGCTCTCTCAGCCCCACCTCACAGGGTGTCTGCTGTGGGGAGGGGAAGGGAAAGGAGTTTGTAAGCCACTCTGAGACACCTTTGGGTAGTGAAGGGCGGGGTATAAATCCAATCTCTTCTCTTCTTCTTCTTTGGATATGGGGGCTCCATTCAGTCCCTGAGTCTAGTAGCTATTGATGGACCCCTCCTCCATGAATCTGTCTAATCCCCTTTTAAAGCTCTCGGTACTGGTGACTATCACTACCTCAGCCTGTGCTGAATTTTCAACAATTTTATTGGATACCCAACATTCATCCCAGTTCCTGAACACTCCTGCTCCACCCTGGAGTCGTCATTCCACTCCTGGCCCTGCCATCCCAGTCCCTGAACACTCCTGCTCCACCCTGGAGTCGTCATTCCACTCCTGGCCCTGCCATCCCTGTCCCTGAACACTCCTGCTCCACCCTGGAGTCGTCATTCCACTCCTGGCCCTGCCATCCCTGTCCCTGAACACTCCTGCTCCACCCTGGAGTCGTCATTCCACTCCTGGCCCTGCCATCCCTGTCCCTGAACACTCCTGCTCCACCCTGGAGTCGTCATTCCACTCCTGGCCCTGCCATCCCTGTCCCTGAACACTCCTGCTCCACCCTGGAGTCGTCATTCCACTCCTGGCCCTGCCATCCCTGTCCCTGAACACTCCTGCTCCACCCTGGAGTCGTCATTCCACTCCTGGCCCTGCCATCCCTGTCCCTGAACACTCCTGCTCCACCCTGGGGCTGTCATTCCACTTCCTGGTCTCTCATTCCATCCCCAGAGTAGTGTATTTGGGCCCAGAGCAGAGACCCTAATGGAAAATCCAATCCGCATTTTTATTGCAACTGTACTTGTACTCTAATGTTTTCCAATGGAGCCCATGCAAGTCAATTGGCATTCCTGGCTCCCATTATTTCCAATGGGCCTCCTAGCGTCTCCCATTGTTTCCAATGGGCAATCCTGTCCTTCCTTTTAGTAGATCCCGTCCCAGGAACATCCCACGGGCCAGTCCCGTGTTGGGCAACCGAAAGGGTCTGGCCTTTGAGGCGCCTGCAAATGCCAGCCAAGGAATGGCAAAAGAGGCTTTTCCGTCCCAAGGTCTGCTTCCTCTACCCTTCCCCGCTCGTTTTCTAGCCATGTGTTGTTTCTTCTGTCAGCTGTTTGATTCCCGGGCCCTTTAATTGGGCGCCGGCAGAGAGTCAGTTTGCATTTGCAAGAAGGGAAACGCCCCCTTCGCTTGGGGAAGCGGGAAGAAACAGAAACTAACTCTGTTCTCTCTCTCTCTCTCCCTGCTTCGTGGAGTCAGCCATGGCGGGTGAGGGTCCCGTGAAGGAGCTCTGGGAGGAAGCCACTTGCTCCATCTGCCTGGACTATTTCAAGGACCCGGTGATCCTCACCGAGTGCGGCCACAACTTCTGCCGGGCCTGCCTGACCCGCAGCTGGGGGGAGTCGGGGGCCAAGCCTTCCTGCCCCCAATGCAGAGGCGCAGCACAGGAGGGGAGCCTCCGCCCGAACCATCAGCTGGCCAGCTTTGTGGAAATCGCTAAAAAATTCACTCTGCAGGAGGGGAAAGATGCAGGTGCGAATGGGCAAGTCTGCCCGAAGCACCAGGAGCTCCTGAGGTTTTCCGGCAAGGACGAGGAAGCCCCCCTCTGCGTGGTCTGCAGCATATCCGAAGAGTGCAAAGAGGTGAGTCCTCTGGAGGAGGCTGCTCGAGAAAGTTGGGCAAGTCAAATCATGATGCAGAATAGCTGGAGTTTCTTCTTGGCTTCTCTGTAGATTCATTCCAGTGAGAACAATCTTAATTTGAATGCAAATAATGATGGGTATTAAATCCGTGAACCTGTGAGCGAACTGGGACTTGGCCAGCCTTGCAGTAAGGTCAGACATTCTGCTTGATAATAAGTGGAAATGCTCTCCCCCCCCCCCATCTGGTTCGCCAGAGTTTGGAAACAGGGCAGTGGGCTGGGCAGATCTTGGCTAAGTCTGATCCAGCAGTGCTCTCACTGTCTCATTTCAGCAGCACTGGAGAGTGCTGTGCATCTCTGTGTGGCTGAAAACACTTTAGTGCAAAGCTCACTCAGGCTGTTGCAGCTTGCTGGCTGGTAACTTTTAATATAATAAGGGCACATATTGGCTTACAAAGAGCAGCTGGTAATAAATGGATCAAAAAGGTTCTTGAGTGGGTTAGTAAGGTTTATTAAAGAAATGTGCAAAAAGTATTTTCTAATATATATATTTCTCTCAGCCTGTTGGCTGTTTCCAGCTCTCATTGGCTATGCAGTGTGCTCCATCAGCTTTGGCCTGTCAGCCACCACTCAAGAGTACTCAGGTGCCATTGGTCTGGTGCTGGATCTGCTCCTCTTCCCCGCCCACTTAACGATGAGAATTTCTGCATTGTTTTTGTCTTAATGGGAATTTTGAAAGATGGTGTTTGTGCTTGTAATTTTGTTTTTTGTTTTTGGTTCTTTGTTTTATTATGTGTGGGTTTTGTAATGATTGGGACATTGGTAATAATGAATTAGTATAAGGATTTGATTAAGTTCTGGATATATTTATAGTGTTTAAAATGGCAAAAGAAGAAGAAATCTTAATGTTTTGGCATTTATGTGATCCTAATAGAAAATAAGATATTGATTAATGCAAACACAGCATAGGGAAGAAAATAACTAAATATCTAAAGAATCTTTATTATCTGTATGACAACTTTGACATCTTATTAGATTGAATAGGGGAGCCATAATGAAATGCATGAAATACGTGAACTGTAATAGTACTGGGATAATATTATATTAGAGAGAGATGGTATGATTAAATAACTATAACCTGTATGATTTCGTTGATGTGTTTAAAAATATGTATGTGTAATTTTCACTTTTTTTGGAAAATTAATAAAAAAGGTTATTAAAAAAGTCAGAGGGGCAGATAATGGTAGGTTGATGGTTAGCTGTGAAGGAGATGGTGTTGCCAACTCCAGGTTGGGAAATTCCAGGGGATTTGAGGGGTGGAGCCTGGAGAAGGTGGGGTTAGAGGAGGGGTTGGACCTCAGACAGGTAGAATGCCATTTCCCTCCAACCAGCCATTTCCTCTTGAGTAACAATTGTTGCCAATCTCTCTCTCTCTCTTTTTTATTTATATATTTTATTGGTTTTATAATACTACATCCTAAAGGGAAGGAAGGAGAGGGAGTAAGATAAAGGTAAAGGTTCCCTTGCTCGAAAGCCAGTCGAATCCGACTCTAGGGTTGCGGTGCTCATCTTCGTTTCAAAGCCGAAGAGCCAGCGCTGTCCGAAGACGTTTCCGTGGTCATGTGGCCGGCATCAAGGGTGTAGACTTTCCAATTTCCCGGGGGGGGCTGGGGCTGGGGCAGAGGCATTGCTAAGTCATTAAAAGAACTGGGACCCAATGACATCATAGGGAGGAGCTAGTGACATCACAGGCATGGTCACTATCTATGGAGGTGGACCCATGTGGGATTTAGGGATGGGCTCCCCAGAAATTTAGGGAGGCCTGGGAACCGCCCTAGCAATGTCCCTGGGCTGGGCTAACCCCAGGAACAGTTGCCTTCTTAGAACACTGCTTAGAAACTTAGAAAGCCCCCCCACACACCCCACATTGGAATAAGAACATAATATCAGGCCATACCACATTGCAATAAAGCCCCTACAACTGTATACAGAAATACTGAGCTTCCCTACCATTTGCCACAACTAGCCCACCACACAAGAAGAAGAAGAAAAGATAGGATTTATACCCCGCCCTTCACTACCCAAGGGAGTCTCAGAGCAGCTTACAAACTCCCTTCCCTTCCCACAACAGACACCCTGTGAGGTAGGTGGGGCTGAGAGAGAGCTGACAGAAACTGCTCTTTTTCAAGAACGGCTGTGCCAGAGCTTGTGACTGACCCAAGGTCACATCAGCAGGTACAAGTGGAGGAGTGGGGAATCAAACCCGGTTCTCCCAGATTAGAGTCCTCACACTTAACCACTACACCAAACCAC